AAATTCAGTAAATTCAAGATAATTTTGTTAGTTTAGATTTAGAAATTTTTATAGAAGACAGTGATGAGATTCAGCATCTGGCTCTGCTCCTCCCAGCCCTGTTTCCTGGAGCACATCCCTTACCTAGCTTGGGGACACACTTTTTTCAACCATAAAAGGAGTGTATTTATATCTTCTGTGTAAGGCTGTTAGCTGTGGGAGATTAAATGGGGAAATGTTGACAGCGCTCTTACCATAGGGCCTGGCACACAGTAATCCCTGAATAAATGGTCGCTATTTGTAACTATTCAAGCAGGTTTTTCAAAAGCCTATTCTTCCCCCTGGGTAATATATGTCTATTTTTTATAACTGCCCACAGTAGACCTTTGCCATTCATGAAGGCTACAGGAAATCTTTGCATATTCTTAAATTTTGGCATAGAGTGGCAAGAGGAATGTGAATTTCTTTACAGGTCCATTCAAGGCTATGTGAGTTGAGTGTATAACCCAACAGGCTCATTCACTAACTGAGGAATCTTTCACTGTGCACCAGACAGGAAACATATGCAACACGTGTCTCAGCAAAGCTAAAATCACCTCTCATCACAGACCACCTCAATTACTACTGAAGAGAGAATCAAGAATCATCATATTCTAAGGGTCTATTTATTTATTTATAATGATAAATGAGTTTATTTATAATAATTGATATTATTTATGTATAATGTATGTTGTATATAGCATTCCATTGATTATACCCTGTACATTTAAACATCTCTGAAATAATAATCAAAGTATACCTTTCATTCAACGATGTCTTAAATAACTCTAAGCCAGGCAGCATTTGTGATGCAATTTTAATGGCCTGAGACAACATGAACTTGGCCATAGCTCTTCGTATTGTAGTGATGCACCATAAAAATTCAAGCTGAAATAAGTTTAAGAAAAATCTTTCAGGGACTGGCTTTGTGGTGTAGCATACCTGAGCGCCAACATCCCATACAGGTGCGTTGTCTCCAATTCTGATCCAGCTCCTTGCTAACACTCTGGAAAAAGCAGCAGAAAATAGCCCAAGTGTTTGGGTCCCCACCACTCACTTGGGAGACCCCGAAGCAGCTCCTGGCTCCTGGCTTCAGTCAGGCACAGCCCTGGCTATTGTGGCCATCTGGGGAGTGAACCAGGGGATGGACGATCTCTCTCTCTCTCCCTCTCACTCTAACTCTGACTTTTAAAATAAGCAAATAAATATTTAAAAAATTATTTCAGTAAATATAAAATGAAAACTGTAGGTAATAAAAATTTTGGCAGTATTTTCTCTCTCCTAATGATGAATAAAATATGATGCATCTTAGAATAAAATCTTTAATTTGGAGTAATAGTTTGTGCTACTCTTTAGCTAATGACAATTTTTCTAGAGTTTCATAAAGTATTGATGTATTTTAGAATTTTCAATTTTAGTAAATATGACAAAACACATACTAATTTTAATATTACTCATTTTTCAAGTCATTGAATATGATTGTCAAAGGACTCAGAATTATTAATATTCTAGGTTTATTTATATGTGAAACTAGCAACCATTTTTTGTGTCAGACACTATAGTTACATGTGCAAAACACTATGTGCTAAACACTAGGCTTAGAAAGATATATAATTGTTATTGAGCACTACTCTCATTCTTAATGTGTCCTGAAGCTCGATCCTCATGCAGTCCTACAGGGTAACTATTACAACTATTGTAATTGTATAGATTAGAAAAACTAGGCGTAAGGAGGTGAAGAAACTGTCAAAAACGTCAGTGCTGGACCAGGTTACAGACCCACTTAATCTGATTCCAGAGCCCTTAATTTTGCTTAGACACATCATGGCAAATAATTGTTCTTGTCCTCAAATAACTAACAGTCTAGGGGAAAGAAATACATATCCCCAAACAATATACATTAGGTCAATTACCACAATGGAGTTAGAAACAAAGCACAGTGGATGCATGGAGAAGAATCTTCTTCTTAACAGTTTTGTATATAATTACCTAATTAAGGTGTACTAACTAGTTGTTGGAACTTCGAAAGGCAGTAACCCCTTCTGTTGGGTCATTGGTATGTCATCAGTGCATACCGGAGTACTTAACACATAGTAGTTGCTTTCGTTTTGTCTCAGGGAGTAGGGAAAAACCAAAGGATTTGAAGCATATTATCAAATTGGTTTGCAAAAGACATGCAGCAAAATCCTTGAGTAAATGCCCGTTCAGATATTATTTATCTTTAACATGGGGATTTTTGATTCCCCCCATCTTTTCTTGCCATGTGTCCAAAACATGTTGTGTCAATTTCCTATGACTGCTATTAACAAATTACCACAAATTTGGTATATTCAAACAGCAAACGTTTGTTCTCTTGCAGTTCTGCAGTCAGAAGTCTGAACTCAGTTTCACTGGGCCCACATCAGGGTGTTGGCAGAGCCATGCTTTCTCCAGATGACACAGTTTCCTTGCCTTTCTCCCTAAAGCTGCAATGCTTGCATTCCTTGATTCATGATTCCTTCAACCTCCCTCCTTCTTCAAAGCCATCAGCATAACATCTTTTTTTCCCTCTTTGAGAAGCAGAGAGAGAGAGAGAGAGAGAGAGAGAGAAAGATCCCATCCATCATTTCATCCCCAAAAGTGAGAGAGAGAGAGAGAGAGAGAGAGAGAGAGAGAGAGAAAGAGACAAAGACCCATCCATCATTTCATCCCCAATGCCCACAATAGCTAGGACTGGAGAGACTGAAGCCACTAGCCAGGAACTCAAGCCAGATCTTCCACACAGATGGCAGGGATCTAGATACTTGAGCCTTCACTGCTGTCTCCCAGGGTCCATATTTGCAGGAAACTGGGATCAGAAGCCTAATCCAGGAACCGAACTTGTGCATGCCAATATAGGATGTGTGTATCTTAACCAGTGTCTTAACCATCTTAACTGCTGGGCCAAATACCTGTCCTGCATAACATCTTTAAATCTCATTTCTCTACTGAGATAGTAGGTATCTACTGAGATAGTAGAATGAGAAAGAGACATGGCTTTGTCGCTTTTGTCTTAAATCTTTCTCCAACTTATAAGAATACTTCTGATAATACCTTGTTTACCCAGATTGGTAAGACAATTTCTTCTCAATATTCTTAACCTAATCATAGCTACAAATACCTTTTCTGCAGGTATTTCAAAAAGTTTGTATAAAAAGTTAAAAGATAGGGGTGTTTTCCAGAAAAAATTTGAAATTCATGTTTGATTTTTTTATAATACATATTTTTATGAACCTTTTGAAGACTTCTAATATGGATGTATTTCAAAATATTTTGCACCAAAAGAAACAACTTTTTTTTACTTCTTTTTTTCAATTTTTTTTCAAATTTTTTTTATTTTTTTACTTAGTAAATATAAATTTCCAAAGTACAGTTATGGATTACAATGGCTTCCCACCCCCCATAATTTCCCTCCCACTCACACCCCTCCCATCTGCTCCCTCTCCCATTCCGTTCACATCAAGATTCATTTTCAATTATCTTTATATACAGAATATCGATTTAGTATATATTAAGTAAAGATTTCATCAGTTTGCACCCACACAGAAACATAAAGTGTAAAATACTGTTTCAGTACTAGTTATAGCATTACTTCACATTGGACAACACATTACAGACAGATCCCACATGAGAAGTAAGTACACAGTGACTCCTGTTGTTGACTTAACAATTTGACACTCTTGTTTATGGCGTCAGAAATCTCCCTAGGCTCTAGTCATGAGTTGCCAAGGCTATGGAAGCCTTTTGAGTTCTCCGATTTTGATATTATTCCAACAGGGTCATAGTCAAAGTGGAAGTTCTCTCCTCCCTTCAGAGAAAGGTACCTCCTTCTTTGATGGCCCCGTTCTTTCCACTGGGATCTCACTCGCAGAGATCTTTCATTTAGTGTGGGTTTTTTTTTGTTTTTTTTTTTTTTTTTTGTTTTTTTGCCAGAGTGTCTTGGCTTTCCATGCCTAAAATACTCTCATGGGCTCTTCAGCCAGATCTGAATGCCTTAAGGGATGATTCTGAGGCCAGCGTGCTATTTAGGACATCTGCCATTCTATGAGTCTGCTGTGTATCCCGCTTCCCATGATGGATCGTTTTCTCTCTTTTTGATTCTATCAGCTAGTATTAGCAGACACTAGTCTTGTTTGTGTAATCCCTTTGACTCTTAGACCTATCAGTGTGATCAATTGTGAACTGAAATTGATCACTTGGACTAGTGAGATGGCATTGGTACATGCCACCTTGATGGGATTGTATTGGGATCCCCTGGCACAAGAAACAACTTTTAATTATATTTCCCATGAATATTCTCAAATGCTGTCATGTGAGCAGCATTCTCAGATTCTGGGCACTAGGCTAGACTTCTTTGGGTACCATGATTCACCCTAACACTTTTTCTTTGCTTATGTGCATATTGCGTAGGGGTCATTTTATTTTAAATTTACGCATGGAAGTTTTCTTTGTAAAAATTCGGAGTCACCATTAAAGTTGTAACACACTAACATTTCACTGTGTCTCATCTTAGGAGCTGTGCTTATGGCTACCCAGAAAGGGGGTCATAACACGATTAAGCAGTTGTCATTAATATAATAATCTCTTTCTTTTGTATACTGTTTTTCAGAAGACTCTCCTCTAGGCAGAAAGACATAAAATAGTTGTGAATATTCCACATTAATTTTGGAACATTCTCTGAAATTCCTGGTGCAAACGTGACACTCAGGCAGCTGCTGTAGTGCAGGCAACTGAGAATCTCTTAGCAGATGCTCTGGCACCCCTCCCCCACCCCCTTCAGCAGCCCATGCCTGAGATCAGCTGTTGCTGAGGCATATAAAAATGTAATTTAAGAGAGCTCTTCTTCCCTTCAACTGAATTGCTATCAGATAACTGGAGGATCAGTTGTACTGTGGGGAAAAAAATCACAACAAAACAAGTCGGCAAACCCAATCCTGTGGCTGATACTAGTTGTCCTATTTCAGGCCACTGCTACAGAAGTACAGTACATGCTGTCAGAGTGATGTTGACCTACCCAATGCCCAACTAACTGCCAAGGAAGAACTTCAGCATAGGAAGAATTTGTCTGTGTAAGTATCAGTTCCTAACAATAATAGAAAAGAAAAGCACCTACTTGTTTGTTTGGAAAAGAAGAGAGGTTCAACATCAGTGGTTTCAGATCATGTTCCAGAAGCTGTAGGATGCATCAGTGCCTCAAGGGGTACCCCAGGGTCTATGGAAAGGATGGATAAAATCTAACCCTTTCTCCAGAGCAATCTCACTTTCATCTGCTTTACTCTTTGGGATTCTGTGTGGACTTTGGTTTGTAAGAAAGCTTCAAGTACCTTTTTAAAAGTGAAAAGCAATTTTAAGTGAACATAAATTAGTTTAGCTCTTGATTTTAACAATATGCATACTTGTGCATGCAGCAAAAACATATCAGGAAGGTAGCAGGTATGAAGGTGGCTTTGGAGTCCACGGACCTAGATTAACACTCGAGGTCTAAATCTTGAGTTGTATAATGCTGAGCCTATTTATTTCAACCCACAAATAGATGGATTCCTGCATCTACACAATGGGGCAGCACTAAGTGTGTGCTTTCTCATAGGGATATGGTGAGGACTAAAAGACATCTTACTGATAAGAAATTGGTTCTTTTAAAATCAGAAAGAGAACAAGGTCACACACGTAATAGCTTGGCTTCAATATTGAGCTGTAGATTATAGCAGCATAGAGAAAAGAAATACAATGTGTAAGGATAAGAAAGGGAGGAATAACATTGTATTCTTCACAAATAATAAAACATAAAAATGCCAGGAAACCCAACTGAGGAATATGATAACTTAGTGATTGATAGCACAGGTTCTGGAGCCAGTTCAAGTTCAAATATTGACTCTACCACTTGCTACCTCTTCAACATTGGGCAAGTTTCTTAAACTTCCAATGCCTTGTGTTTCACATTTTTAAATGACAATACTAAGAAGACTCATGTCAGTCTCATTAGTAGTTATGAAGATTTTTTAAAAAGATTTATTTTTGCTTGTCTGGAAGGCACACTTAAAGAGAGGGAGAGACAGAGAGAGAGGAAGAGAGATCTTCCATCTACTGGTTCACTCCCCAAACAGCTGCAAGTGCAAAGGCTGAGGCAGACAGAAGTCAGGAGGTAGGAGCTTCTTCTGGGTCTCCCAAGGGGTTGCAGAGGCCTAAGCACTTGGGCCATCTTCTGCTGCTATTGTAGGCACATTAGCAGGGACCTGGGTCAGCAGTGGAGCACCCGGGACATGAATCGGCACCCATATGGGATGCTAGGGTTGCAGGAAGCGGCTTTATCTGTTACATCCTAACACTAGCCCCTATTTGTATTTCATCTGGAAATACTACTGGTAATCGGTCACACTTTGTTTTTTTCTGTAAAAATGTTAATTTGTTAGCACACTTTAAAAACACTGACCAGGAAAGCTTATTTGAATATTTAATTTCCAGCCTCCAGAATCTGAATCAATGGGTCTCCAGTGGGACATAGGAATCAGTAATTTTCCCAAGTGTTCCAAGTAATTCTAATGTAGCTGGTCTGCAGGGAACAAAATGATATATTCGAATTCTTAGGTCAGTTCCCAGCTCCTTTTGAAGCCTGCTCCTGCCAGCTCCTCTAGCTTCATTTATCACAGCCTCAGCATCATTACATACCCTATACAGCCTTTTTTCCCCTTTACAGCATAATAAACAACTTGAGTTGTCCCCAAAATTCTAAACGAAAGATAAACTGTATTTCTACTCTGGGCTTTGACACATGTCTTTCTTCTGCTGGAAAATACTTTCCTCATGCTTTCCTTTATTTGACTAAATCCTCTTTATCCCTCAAAATCAGGCATGACTTCCTAAAGGAGGCTTTCTCTCATCCTCCTAAGCTCCTCCTCTGCGCTAACAACCCAGGGCCAACTGCTATTTTTGTCAATTATCGCTCTCTGTTGTAATTGTTATTGATTTGTCTACCCTATTAGACCTTAAGTTTCTGGAGGGCAGAATTAGTAATATTCTACTTGGTTTTCTCATTGCCTAGCAAAATGCCTGGTCATAATAGGGGCTCAACGGATGCTTTCTAAATGGATTAATGAGAAATTGAGTGAATGAACCGTATAATATATTCCAAACATATGGGAGTCCTTGATATTTTAAGATATATGCATGTAAGGCCAGTGGCATGGCTATTATACCTATTAAATAGTAAGATACTAAAGTTTCCTTTTTTTCTTGCTCATTCTATTTTATTTTATTTGTATTATTAAGAATTTCACCAAGATCTCTGAAATAAATTTATACACATCACACGGAACACAATGGGGCATTGTAGACTTTTAAGTTGATTATGGAAATCTCTACTGAAAATAAGAATGTATGAATATAAAGGTCTATTTCTCCACAAAAGACCATACTGGACACAGTGAGCTGTTCCACTCTCAACCCCCAAAATATGATTGAACAAGTTTCAAGATGGGAAGAAAACTGCTGCACTACACAGCACAAAATGTTGTAATTATTATTTATTGCGCATTATTTATTTAGCGCATTGCTCCAAAACTCAGTGGCTGGAAACAGCAAATACTCCTTTCCCCACTCAGTGGTCAGGAAGCTGGGAGCGACCTAGTGCCTTGAGGACTGCCTCCAGGTCTCTCCTGAGTTGTAGTCTCACTCCCAGCCAGGACAGTATTCCCATCTACTTTTGAGCTCAGGCATGTTGCTGTTGGAAACCTTAGAAGATTCACTTCCAAGATCATGCTTTTTAATAAGCCTGTCTCACAATATGGTAGCTGGCTCACCCATGAGCAATAAGAGGGAGTAAGATTCTAAAAAAGTACCAGAGGAAGTAAGAGTACCCATGAGAGAAGCTTCAGTCTTTTCACAACCCAATATCAAAATAGATATAACATTGATTTTGTCGTATTGTATTTCATAAGTGAGTCACTAAAGACCATCACATATGCAGCATACTCTGCTTCTGATCCATCTCTCTGCTAATGTGCCTGGGAAGGCAGTGGTTGATGGCTCAAGTTCGTGAGTCTCTGCCGTGGTGTGGGAGACCCAGATGTAGTTCAAGGCTCCAGTTTTTAGCCTGGTCCAGTCTTGGCTGTTGTAGCCCTTTGGGGAGTAAACCAGCAGATGGAAGATATCTCTCTTTCTGTCACTTTGTCTTTCAAATAAATAGATCAATTTTTATTGTATTCACTTATTTATTTTTAAAGATTTATTTGTATATTTGAAAGTCAGAGTTACAGAGACCGGGAGGGGAGGAGGGGGAGATATCTTCATCTGCTGATTTCACTCCCCAAATGGCCACAATGGCTAGGGCTGGGCCAGGCGAAAGCCAGGATCCAGGAGCCTACTCTGGGTCTCCCACATAGGTACAGGGGCCCAAACACTTGGACCATCCTCAGCTTCTTTCCCAGACACATTAGCAGAGAGCTGGATCAGAAGTGGAGCAGCTGGGACTCAAACCAGCACCTATATGGGGTGCCAGTTCTGCAGATGGTGGCTTAACCTGCTGTGCCACAGTGCTGACCCCAAATCCATTTTTTTTTAAAAGAAAAGAGGTAGGCATAATTGGGAACACTCTTATGGGGTGCCTCGCCAAAAGTGTGCTCTATATATTTCAGATATATTTTAAACAGAACAAAATAGCAGCATGTCACAGGTAAATCTGCCTAGAAATTTGAATAATGAGAACAAATGACAAAGAGGAATGCCCTCAAATTGGTATTTAAACTCAATGTGTAAAATGAATTCATGTTATGCAAAGGTGGCTTTTGAGACAACATATTGTGGGCACAGTGCATCTAATAGTCATAAAGTTGTTATGGTTAATGCTTATTTTGGAATTACTGTCAGGTTTGTGTTGTGATTCTAAGCATAATACAGATTCATCACCATCAAAATTGTCTACTCTATTTAACCACTAATGTCAATTGACTTTTCCTGTTAACTACAGGGGAAAGAAATAATGTTTTTAAAATTATTAAGTTAACTATACATCACTAACACACTAACATATGTTTCTAGGTAGTTCAATGTGATTTCCTGTAATCAACTAACAGTAAGTTAATATTATCATGGAAGTTTGACTAGGAAGACTATTTTTAATATCTTATAGCTTGTAAGACATAGATTACTCTCTATGTGTGAATTGTGGCAAAAACTTCCAATTCTTTCTAAAAGCAAGTTTATGGTTTTGAATCCATTTTCTTCATTCATCTTTAATAGCAGAACTAGACCCATAATAGGAAAAGCACATATTTGTGTTTTGTTGCTGTTGCTGTATCTGATCTTAAATTATGGGTTTCTAAATTGTATGCCCTTTAATGTGTATATCTTCAGTCCAAATTTTCTAATGCTTTCTTATGGAAGTCTATTTTTATTTCTCTGAAGCCTTGAGACCCTTGGGAAGGGAGTGTGTGACAGTGAAAGAGGAACGTGGAAAAGAGACCATCTGTTCCAGGTCTCTCTCTTGCTAGGTCCTTGGCTTATAGTAGCATAATTCCAGTCTTCACATGGAATCCTCCCTATGTGTGTGTGCCCGCCTATCTCTGTGTCTTCAAATGTTTCCTTTTTATAAGGGCACCAGTCATACTGGATTATCTGCCCACACTACACCAGTATGAACTCATCTTAGCTAATTATATTTACAGCAGCAGTATTCTCTAATGTGGTTACATTCTGAGTTACTGAGGGTTAGTACTTCACCAAATGAATGCAATCCAATCCATACCAAATCCCGAGGAGTCTACTTGAGTCCACACAGGCCCTAGTGGTGAGGCACTGATTATTTTTAGTTGCTAGTTCTGTTTTCTTTTAGTCAGGAAGCTAATGTGTTCCAAAGGTCTTTCCAAAATACATATCTGATTGTAGTGGGTAATAATGATCGAAGGGGCTATAATTCTAAACTGTAATCCCGAGAGGCTAATTTTTGGCCACTTGAGGGCCCTAATTTAGAAGGTGGCCTCCAAAGGGGGTCCATGAGCTGACCATGCCAGGGCAGTCTGTTGTCCTCTCTGCCCGACATACAAGCTGACTTTGTCCCACAATCCT